CCGTTCTAATTATTAAAGGACTTGGATATTTAAAGTCTATAAATAACATGTCACTAGAGACTTTGAATCCTTATTCTTCAGGAAGATTACATACTTTCCCATCGAAACTATGAAATTTAAGTTGTATAACTTTGCTTCTGTTACTTAATACATAGTGTGTTGTCAGTGTTCTGACTCGGGTAAGATTTACCCTTTGTGTTGGTGGGTAATGTAAACTTAGGTTGGCAGCAATGGTAATATTTTCTTCCAGACACACAATAACCCACCTAAAAGTGGTATGTAAATATATATAATGGCTTTCTTTAGTTATCATGGTACTTTGCTACTTTCGGGCCTTTTTGATCATCTGTTAAGTTTAAAATGCTTTTGTTGTTGATTCTTAATTTAATGAAAAAATTATTTACTGCTTACTTTATTTATAAAATAATGTATAATGTTTGAAACTTGAACTAGTGAACATTTAAAGTCACCTTAATGAATTAAATATTAGACTTCTAAAATTATATTTCAATAACCCATTTAAATTTTTATTTAATCCCTTCAGCATTTTAAAGAGAAGGAAGGAAAATATACTAAAAACAGACTATAGTAAATGTTTTTAGCTATGTATGTTTTGTCACAAGAAATTATCTTAATTTTTTTCTTGTTAGAACTTTTCTCTGATTAACAGCTGTATTGACATGACATTAACAGATATGTTAACTGTATGCAAATAGTTCGCTTGATTGACTCTGATTCATGGCAACCTCATGTGTGTCAGAGTAGAACTGTGCTCCATATGGTTTTCATTGGCTGGTTTTTTGGAAGTAGAAGTACCTCTTGGGGGACTTGAACCTCCAGCCTTTTGGTCTTTTTGCACCACCCAGGTACTATGTATACATTATTCAGTACTACGGTAAGGCAGATTGTTATCCTCTTCATGCATTTCTGTGTCTTCATAACATTTTCCATTGTTTCTCTTCAGGCAGCATTATACCATTGGATTGTTCAGGGCAGGAACTCCACAGCAGCTGGTTTTGGATTGTTTAGGGCTTGGGAATAGGAAAGCATATCTGCATTATGTTAAAAATAGCTGCTAGAGAAAGAGGAGATCACAGTACTGTGTAGTAATAAAGCACTGGTCTAGGAGTCTGGAGGCTTGTGTTCTAGTCCTGGCTTGGCCATTTGTTATGAAACCTTGTAAGTCAGTTTCTGCATCTTCATTTGGCTTATGTGATCTTCAAGCCACTTTCTAAAATTATGTCATTTGTGCCATGGTTCTGCAATCGAGTGAGCATATTACCATGAAGTAGCAAGAATGAAGTGTCAGAATACCTCTGCTTCACATGTAAAATGTTATAATCTTATAGCTTTCTCTCTTCCTTTTTTTGATGTAAACTTTTTATTGTAGTATAACACACACATAGAAAAGGTACACAGATGATGAAAACACAGAGTATAGACCACAAAACATTACCAGAATCCTGAAGCTCCTTCTAGTCCACACTTCCTTCCCCCTCCAGGGGTAACCTCTATCTTGATTTCAACCTCACAGATTAGTTTTGGCTGGTTTTGGAATCCAAGTATGTACTCTTTTTGTGTCAGACTTCTTTCCTTTAGCATTTTATGTGTGAGATTTACGTAGTTGTAGTTTGCTCATGTTCATTGTGTGGCATTCCTTTTTGTGAAATATACCTCAGTTGATTTATCTGGTCTCCTATTGGACTAACAATAATTGTAATAATAAGAAGAAGAAGAAGAAAAGATAAGGGAACTACATTAAAATTAAGAACGTCAGGTAGCTTTTTAATCCTTGGGGATTATTTGTATTATAAAAACAATCATAAACAATCCTAGTAGCATAACTACTCTCACTGATATGTACCCTGTTCTTTTTCCATTTGCATGAATTTTTACTTAGTTATTGCTATTGTATATATATAATTTTAAAATATTTTTTAAAATATGTGGTATTTTTAGATGATTATATTGTCTGATAATTAATGACTACTTAATATTCATTGAATCACCAGACCACGGTTTTTAGCTATGCCACTATTGGACAAGTAAGTTGCTAATTGAGAAAAGCTATTGAACCAATTGAAATATGATTGCTTATTGTCTGAAATTGGTTATATTAGTTTATCCCACCCCTTCTGACTCACAACCTTAAATTGAAACTGTTGGAATGGTAGAGAAACAAAGTAGTTGGGAGGATAATAAAAGAAAATAAATTAAAACTTCATTCCTGGATGACTTTAGAAACTGCACTGGAAGCAAATGAGGAAGTTAGAACAAAAATTTTATATTTTCAGCTTTAATGAAGGATGTTGTCAATTAAGTAAATTTTCATTTTTAGCAGTATTCTGACAGTTAAACAGAGCTAATAAATTGACTGAGTCAGTTTTTCTATTTAAAGTTTGTCTGCAAATTTAAGTGCAAGGGCTAAATATTTAGTATATTATATTTCCTTTGAGTTTTATTCCTATTTGTGGTCGAACTTCTCTCTGAACTCCAGGAAGCTGAAACCAGTTCATTGCTACCTGCTAATATATTCTTACGTAAGCGGTAGCTTCACGTTTTTTTTCTGGCTTGAGCATAATTAGCTAACTAGAGAGGGGCATTCAAATGAATTGAATTCCATATTTTTGAGAATACAGAGCCTTGTAGAAAATAATTTAATCCTTTTACAGTAAGATAGGATTATGCTTATCCATCAACACCGTTGAATCTCTTGTTTTATTAAAAGGTTTTACAGAGGAGGCAATTCTTGATTGTCAAGATTCATTGTTCCTAGAATTAACCTTTACTCACAAATAAACCCTTATCTAATCTGTATTCTTCATGTTATAGATTCACTGTGTTTCCTCTTGTTTGGCCCTCTGTGGAAACAGATGGTTACTATTTTTCATTTAGTAAACTTCTGATACTTGAAACCTAACATTTGTCTTTCTAGGCTTCACTGTGCTTGAATTAAGTTATTTACATAATATTAAAAACAAACAAACAAACAAACCCATTGCAGTTGAGTTGATTCCGACTCATAGTGACCCTATAGGACAGAGTAGAACTGCCCCATAGGGTTTGTAAGGAGCAGCTAGTGGATTCCAACTGCCGACCTTTTGTATAGCAGTCAAACACTTAACCACTGCGCCACCAGGGCCCCGGTTACATAATACAGACACACCTAAATAGGGCTTTCTGCCCATGAAAATGTTGCTCCCCAGAATTCTTAAAATATGCTTCTAGAGTACCTTTGGTCATGTTAGTATGTGCATATCTTGGTTGTCTTACTGAGCAGTTAGGTAATTTG